GAAGCTTCGCGGTGCTCGAGGGAAGAGGCTTTGGCACGGGCGGAGCAGGCAGGCTGAAATCCTCGCTCCGCTGGAGCCGACGGGAAGCTTTGCCCTCGGCCGCGCTGGGGTCACGATTCCCCCGGCCGGAGCTTTTAGTGCAATAAACCTCCGGAGATAGGGGCACTGCTAATCCGTCGCAACTCGGTAGTGGCGGGGAGAGCGTTACTTCTCGGGCACTTGGCTCGAAAAAGTAATAGCCCCAAATTATCAAATGCCACAAGTGTCACGTTAGTGAAAAGCAAACTTGAATTCTACAGAAGAAAGTCTGTAGCAGTAGAGAGGTAAAGGTGTGATACAGCTGGGACTCCTTTCAGCACCTAAACATGCACATGCACACAAGCGAGGGCACGCGGTTAGTTTGGGAACAAAAACTGTCTTTTTTAGATTAACTGCATTTCAGCTGCCCGTCATTATGCTGTGGGCACATTTCTCCCCACTTCCAGACACAGCCAGAAAAGCCTGACTGTCTGCGTTTCTCAGACATCTTCAAATTATTATCTACAATACGATGCTTTTAACAGCTTGTTTTTTCCTTCACACGATGTTTCTGAGCATTGTGACCACACACTGAAAAGTTTAGCAGTACTTAATGCCCCTCTAGTGCAGATTCTTCCTTTGTAGGTCTTAAAAGTATAATATATAGATTTGGAGCAAGGAGGATATGCATTTATAGAAACAAGCCTGTAAAAATCAAAGGTATGCATTTAAAACACAGCCACTGCCATTAGCCATTTGCTGAACTGACAATGAATATAAGCAACCTTATTAATACATCAAGAACTAAAAAAAAACAAGTTTACAGCCCGTTATTGCAATACCCATAAAAGTGAGACTTCTAAAGGCAGGGAATTAAGCGGCGCCTAACGGGGAAGCAATTCTCTCTTCTGCATTGCTCTGTAATGCTCCGTTTGCTTTACTATCCAAATGCCCCATAAAGCCAAGAGGACCAAAGAAAAGCTGACTGCAAATATTCTCCTGATTTTGTGTATTTTTAAGTGGGTGGGAGGTTTTCTTGTGTAACTTTTGAAGGTAGCAGACAGATTTCTGCCACTGGTGGTGCAAAGGCTTCCCCTTTGCACCCAAATTCCCCAAATGCTGAGCTGCCTCCTCGTGATTAACAGTGCTGCTTGTCTAGAGGGGACACTTAAACTGAATCATGGCCACAAACTTGGAGGAGCAGACACACCAGCATGCGTACTTTGCTCTAAAACACCTTTTGGTTTACATTTATCATCCACCCAAAAAGCACCTGCCTGGGTATGCTACAATACAGGAGTGTGAGTCCTCCCTTGGAGGAGATCTGAAACCCTCTCCTACAAGTGAGTAAGCAAGCAATGAGTTTTTCTTTGGGCTAACTGCAAGAGGATATGTAGGGGAAGCCTTTCTTAACTAAACAAGCTTCCTAAGTGCACTGGGTGGGCGGACACCCAGGGCTACTTAGACATTTCCCTATGGGATTCCAGAAGCCAGGCAGCCTGTCTGTCCTCTCTATGGAGTCTATACTTTTTCCCACAAATCCTTCTTTCTCTGCTGAGAAAGTCAATCAGCAAACTGCTGAGTGCCAGCTTGGCTATGGAGAAGGCTCTACCTGATGCTCTGCCTGGGTTTTTAAACAGGGCTGGATTTCAGTCTGCAGCTGAAATATGTAAATATCAGACAGCAGAATAAATATTGGTATTTTTGCTAAGTGAAAGGTAAATGGCCATAATTGATACCACTTAGGAGATGCAAACATATTAAATCTGACATTTCAGTGCAGACTCAAGCACATTTAAAGCTTGGAGAAAAAGCCTTTTTTGTTCCTTTCTGATTATTACAGTTATATTAAAAACACTTTGCTGCCAGAAAGTGGATTTGTAACAACCTAGAAAAGAATTACCCAGCTTCTGAATACAAAACATCCAGAGAAGAAAAAACCACTGGGAGCAGAGCATCAGTTTAGCTAGTTACCAACTGGGATTCATTTTTAACCATTCCTGTATTTTTCGGTCTCTTTTTTTTTAATAATTTTTCCCAGAAGGAAAAGAAAAAAACTCCTAAAAGCACAAGCAAAGTCTTGTGCATGTATGACTACAAGACCTACAGACTTTTATGGGAAAACCTTGCCTAATTTCTCATACAGATTTGCTGGTTTACTCGGGACAAAAAGCAGCCAGCTCAGCTTTGGGATTATCTTTCTGAGGCAATTAGACCTTCAAAAAGCTTTTTTTTTTTTTTTTTTTTTTTGATAGTACCTAAGTGCACACTGATCATGGCTCCTATTTTCAGCATTGTGATGAGAAGCTCTACACATAAATACACCTTGGCTCTGAGGCATTAAACCTTTTGCAAAGCCATGCAAGCCCTGCACACCTCTTGCAGGGACAGCCACAGCCAAACTTCTGTCAGCCCCCCAGCTTCAAACTTCTGATAGCCTCAAAGTTTTTATCTGTCACAGGCAAAGAAATGCTGCCAGAGCTAGTGAGGATCAAGAGACAAGGAAGCCACGTCAGAGCATTTCAAGTAGCTCTAGAAAGCCTGGCTTGATATTGCAGAATGAGCCTTTCTACCCCTTTATTTTTACCCCAGGCAAGATGCTGGCTGGTTGAGCACACACAACATCAGGGACCTGGGCTGAGGAGCTACCCCTGGACATGTGCTGCTTCCTCTTAGCTTTATCATTAGCATAGAAATATGTCCTAATTGCCCAGTCACAAGAGATTACCTCAGGCCATACATCACCTCATCCTCCTATTAACTTGGGTTCCTTTCTCCACTTGTATAAAATTAACTCACATCATGTGGTGGAATTTTGGGAATTTAAGAACAGTTTTATCAATTAACATTTGTGTATTTCAACACAGTCACCAGACAATTACATTATTAAATTTACAATTGTTAGCTGTGAAAAAATTGCTTTTAGGAGCAGTCACTTTAAATAAGGTACAAATTGGATATAACAAGACTCTCTAATGGCTTCACACTTCTTTTCAGCCCAGCTTACTGTATAAAATTGAGGTTTCGGTCCTGCAGTTAATAAAGGTAATAATATTGACTTGATTTCCAATATGGGAGCAGGACTGTGCATTTCACAGGGCTACCTGGGTGCTCCCAGCCATACCTTGGGACCCAGCTCCCAGTAACTGAGCCTCCATGGTGAAGGCACACTTAGCCCTTGATGTGTAGTGGCAAATATTCCTACCCTACCAATTCAAGGGTAAGCACTGAAAAAACCCAAATCTGTAAAGTCATAGAGCATCAATAGGTTTATTGTCTCTTTAAATAGTCGACCTGAAACAACAGTATGCTGCCCCAGTCCTAATATTTACATCTGTGCCTGGAGAGATGTTAATGGTTTGTCTTTCAGGGAACTTGCATACAGTGAGAACTGGCGTTTTGTACCTTAATTTGGAAGACAGACCGCAAGAGAATGGGATGTTTTACAAGTTAACAGTTCATTTAGTCTTGGATTTTCAATAATTCTGCTGATTAGCACGCTAATGAGGTAGAGGGAAAAGCAAGTTTCAGAGATAAAAAAGGTGATGCAGCAGATTCAAGGTGATGGCAAAGACATTATTTTCAGGAAAACAAGAATTCAAGGTATGCTTTCAGCAAACTAGATGCTTAGTTACACCAAGCACCTTCACATTTCCAGCAGCCTCTGCTCTAAGCATCAGTGTCTGACTTTTTAATGAAGCAAAATCAAGTGATGAGCTTGTTAAGAAACAAAAGGTAGGGGCAAGCATTTTTAATGAACAGCTCTGATTGTTGTTTAGGCTTTCTCAGGAAGCCGATAATAAAATCAATTTCAGTTTTCTTAAAACTACAGAAGATTTTGCTTGGGATGTGACATAGTTAAATAATAACGGTATTAAAAACGAGTAAACAGCAGATTCTCTTTAATATTCTATACTAATGCCTTTTCTAGCAGAAACTTAAAATATGCATCAAGGCATTTGCTTTCAGATAGACACTAAAAGCAAGTTGCCATGTTTTCAGCTGACACAAGTCAGTGCCACTCCACTGCTGCCCGTGTCTACACTGTTTTACACCATCTGAGGATCTGGCCCAAAACTTTTACCCTTGAAAAATTCACGAGGACAGAAGTGATGGGAAAACCAGCTTCTAACCAATTTGACAGAGGAAGAATATCGAAGGGTGCAAAAGGGTACACAACACATCTCACCTGTCCCCAATCTCCTGCTTTCCACTTCGGACATCTGCCCCCTCTGCATTTCTTTTGCATGTTGGGCTTAGCAAGGTGCTTGCAATAATCTTCTTCTACATGCCTCCCTTCCTTTGACAAACAGTACACATTGCGGTGCTTTTGGCCCCTTCCACAGGAGACAGAACACTGTAAATGTAAAGTAACAACAGATCAGCTTGCAGGCAGGGCCATCTGCACGGTTATACACGGGCCATGGCTACCCAGGGCATTTGCTTTGAACTGGAGCAAAAAGCACATCCTCAGTTCCCCTGCAGCCTGCACAGAGCTCGAGGGGGATCCAGAAGGGCAGGGTTTAACCGCTGGAAATGCTCCAGTTTGCACTTAATATAGCACCATATTCTTGGTCAAAGCCCCCCAAAATGCCATCATCAAATTAGAGACAGGAGCTGACATTCAGCAGGGATAACAGGCTGGATTCCTGGCGTTGCTCCAGTGGTTTCAAAGGAGCAGAGTCATCTTACAGGGATCAAGGCAGGAGCCCTCAGTATCTCCTTAGAAGAACTTGAAAGGAACCATTTCCATTTACCTTGGTACAAAGGGAAGTCAAATGTTGGTAAATCGGGAGAGTAAAGCATCATATACACCTTCACAGGGGGAAAAAACTGCACAAAGTACAAGGCAGGGAAATAGCTGCACAAAGTACAAGAGGAAACTGCCTTGCCTTGCCTCCATGTCCTCAGTATTAAAGCTCATGTTTGTTTTACCAGTGTAGACTGATTTGCTTTTCTTTTTTACTAACAGACTGAAACCAGGACATGCTCATCCTTAAGATTTATGCATTTTGAAAACAACTCAGAAGGTGGCAAGAAGGCAGAGCCCGAAGAATCAAAGCAAAAAGCAAATCAGCAGGTATGTTAGCTGTAAGCTTTGTAGTGAAGCAACTAATTTCAACCTCCCTCTGCAGGTTCACTGAACTTTTTCAAATGTGACCACTTCTGGCATGCAAACCCCAAGCAACTTCACTTTGATTTCAGATTAGTCTCCTCCAAAAGATTTAGGAATCAAAGGGGTCTGGAATCACGACAAGAATTTAATATGACAGTTTCATGTAGAACAAGCCTCTTACTCAGCATGATGCACCTAGAGACTCAGCTTCGATTCCTTCATTACGTGTTATGCAAGTCATTAGTTGCTATGTCACAAGCATCCTGGCCTAATCCTTGAGCAAAACACACTAGTTCAACCATCTCTCAACACAAAATCTTGTGCTTTCTTTCCAGAATGCAGCAAACGTGCTGAGATGAGGCTTCTTCATTTTGGAGCCGCTCCATCAACGTATTTCCTAAGCAATAAGAGCCCAAGCTCTTCCCAGTTAATGAATACATTTGAAACCTAAAATAATACAATTTATATATGTAGCAGCTCTGGAAGATCCATTAGAATAGAAATTGGCCTACACATTGACAGCTGTGATTATTTTAAATTACAGCACTACTTCCAACTCATTCAGCCCCTATTGTGTTAAGAGGTACAGGAAGAACCATCAAGAGAGCAGCAAGTTGCTCTGAAACGGGAAAGTTCAGACCAGCCTGGAGAGAAACGGATATAACTCATAAGATCAGACCTTGCTGCTTAAAAGCTTTCATAGGCAATGTTCTGAAAAAAGCTGTTCCCTGCTGCAAGACCCTTACAGACTGGCAAAAGGGGGCTGCAAGAGGAGCTGTGAAGACAATTTTTAATGCAAGAGTTTAAGGGCATTAATGATGCTCCTCTATGAGAGGTGGGGAAGGCAGATGAGCGTGTGGCAGGCAAGGCCACCGCTGAGTTTTCCTGACTTCTCTCCCATTTCAAGATAGCCCAAAAACCCCAACGAGCAACATCCAACCTTGCACTGAGAAACAGAGGAAAATGCTGTCCCTTGTTCTAAAACAAGGCTTTAATGAGTTACCCAGATTAATGAACTTCACTTCTATTCTTGAGTAGCAACAGAGAAAAGATAAAGTTGGTATTATCCTATTTTTATAAGCCTTTAAGTTTCATCAGAAGTTCAATTTTTCATTCTCTCCACATCTCTCCCCAGGCAGTGAATGTCAGCAGCAAGAAGGAAATGTCATCCTACCAAACCCAGTTGTAAACTTCTAATGCTTTCATCCATTTACTATCTTTGGACTAAACACCAACACTGACGCTTCAGCAAAAATTCAAGTGCTTCTCAGTAAGTGCTCTCCATGCAGGTTGATGCCACTTTACTGTGGCAGCCAAAGCTAATGAATAAGATCAAAGACTTGATCAGGACTCTCTCTTGCCCCACATTCCAAGCTGGTACAACCTTGTGCTTCTTTCCTCTAATGTAAAAAAAATTACATTGGATCCACTATTTATTCTAAAATATAAGGTTATTATAGAGGAAGTATAACCACATTGTGTGACCACACAAGCACGTTTCTAGGGTCCTGAGCTTGGGTGATAAATACTTGATCTCACAAATAATATGATGGTAGTTATTTCCAAAATTAATATCACCCTTCTACAAATTGCTCACCTTTGGCATGCAGCCTGATTCTGACATCTATCTCACCATCCCATGATCAAACACAAGACTGCACGCATACCTTGGTGCACTCAGAGGTCGAGGCATAATTTGGCTAATTTTGTTAATACTTAAATGTAATTCCCAAGATGCTGGAATTAATCATTTCTATGTCTGTCTTTAATATAAATCAAGGTTAGGCAGCTGTATGTTTTTAGATCTAAACCACCCGTTTGCTTTCATGAGCATGTGAGTTATGATCTCATTTGCACTGAGAGAAAAGAGAGGTTTGAATAATCTAATGTAACCAAGTATCAGAGACTGAAAATTCCTTTGCAAAGAAGCTACTTCATAACTGCCTTATAATTCGTCTCAGGCATTTCCAGCTTTTACTTAGCACATAGATTTTAAGCATATGCGAGCCACATACAGAAAATAATTTAATAGTGGGCTTCACCTTAACTGCATGGGACTTAAGGAAGCAATACACCTATCTTCTGCCATCAACCTCATCATTTATTTCAGACCCCAGAGAAACTTGGCATTTCATTAGCAGGTCTTGTCATTGCTGCAAATGCTACCACCTGCTTTCAGTATCAGTAACAGTGCCATAGTGAGGTAAGCTTTGATCTTGCCTTCTTCAAAACATTGGAATAGCACAGACAAAACCACTCCTTTCATATTTCTTTTCTTTTTTTTCTTGACTTCTTTCCTGTCCCACACCCCCCATAGAAATACTTCCAAGGGCTGGGGATGGAAAGGTGGCTCTCTGTGGAACAGCAGCCTCATACAAAGCTTTTTGCAGTCAATAGAAAGACTTCTAGTGGTTTTAATCACCTCTGGATCCAGCCCTGAAGGTGTAGCCAAGGTACTGTATTGACCTTTTCCACCAACCTGCTTCCTAGAGTCGAGGATCACATATACTTGGATATCCTCATGGTCAGCTCACCTCTGCCTCCACTCAAATGCAGGAAAATGTTGCTCTGAAATGCTGTTTCCAGCCTGTGATGGAGGCATGGCAGCAAACAGGACCCCTGGGAGAACGTGGAAAGATAGCCAGGAACAGAGGATGGTGTAAAAACAACACATTGTGTTGTTTCTTAAAAATACCTAAGATGATTGTGGCACATAAAATAATAGAGAAGTACTATTTCAAAAAACAAGCTATATCCATTACACTGAAGGTTCTAGTAAACCTTCCTCTTTTTATCATCTGTATTATCTCCTAAAACCACCACAGTCACACCTGGTGCTTTACATGGAGAACAAGAACGAAAGGACTTTCCTAAGAGCATTAAGATCAAAGCATTTGAACACAGATTTAAGGGGTTTATGTTTATGGTTTGATTAGTTAACATGTCAAGAATGGAGGATTGGCATGCTGCTGATTTTTTAAAATAAATATATTGCCTAGTTAAAATAAATATGAGAAAAATATTTCCATATAATCTGTTCCCAGAAAGGTCAGAACACGACTCGAAATCTCTCCTGCAATGCCCCACTCTGCTCCAGTGCAGTGGCAAGCTCGTGTTTTTTGTACCCAGAAAAATTTGTTTTCTGTTTCAGAGTTCAAGAATGACGAAGATCATTCTGTTTTACCAAGTATGTGCAAATTGCTTTAAACTAACACTTGCTGCATTTCCTATTCTGATATTTTGAAAGATAAGGGTACCTCTTGTTCATTAAGACTGCTTTAAAATAGAAAGGCTGCTACTTAATTCACTGGTAGAAGGAGAAAAAAAACAAACAAACAAACAAAAAACCCCCCAAACCAAACAGAATATATATCCCATAAGCTCTAAAAAATGTGTACAAAATTTCTGGCTCGTTTGGCCCAGGTTCTGACCCTCCTGCAGGAGACCATGACCTGCTCTTCTGCTCTGGGAGCTCCTGATGTGGCAGAGCCACTGCCCAGCTGAGGGCTGGGAGCAAGATCAGGCTGGCACCAAAAGGACCCGACAGCCCTGGGCACAAACAAATTTTGGTGAAAAGAAATAGGCAGCACAGAGCAAGCAAGAAAAAAGGAAGCAGCTCCACTTCTTAACTTTGTGCATTGAAGGGACAGCTCAACATGGGGCAGAAAAGCAAAACACCAGCAAGAACCTGGGGCCATTCTCTTCCAAAAGTGGAAGGTTTCAGAAAATGCTGTCAGACCACTTTTCCAGGCCCCCCGTGCATCAGCCCACGATTTGGGAGGTATTTGAGATAACGAATGCAAGCTGCTGTGATCACCAAATGAATTCCCAAAGATAGGTATGCTCCGATAGCTCACTGAGGGCAGGGCTGGGGGCTGGGAAGAATTCAACTAGAAATGGCTTTATCAGATTCTGCCAGGAGCAACATTTTGGAGGAAATTAAAATCAATCCTTGTAGGTTTAGATTTCCACACGTTAAGGATTATATGGAAAATAAGTACTCCTAAGTAAGCCCTTGTTCATCTTTTCCAACAATCTGAGCTGAAACATGTGCTGGATGAAATAAAACAGAAGAACAACAGAGCCCTACCATGCTTTACATCCCCCTTTCCAGGAGGGGTTGTGCTCCTGGATGTCAGCAAACTTCTCCAACTCTGAGCAGAGCCCAACCACGCACCCTCACAGTTACATTTCAGCACCCTGTTAGTCTACATCAGCTCTTACTATAGCTTTCACTGCTG